AATGCCCACGAAGGCTGGGCCGGGCCAAGGCTGAAGTCTGCGCCAGAAGCTCACTCCTGGACTCCCTCTGGGTGGCAGGGACCCGGTGGCTAGAACAGCAGTGCTGCCTCCCAGGATGCACAGCAGCAGGAACCTGGAGCAGCTACTGGGGCAGGTTCGGACCCCCGGGCCAAGTGCCCACCCCCAGAGTCCCACGAATGATGCGGAGGCTGGGCAGCCAGCAACCATGCTTGCAACACATTTATCCAGGTCTTTGTTAACAGGATGCTCAGTCAGTCACAAAGCAAAACAAATATTCATCCCAAAATGACCAGTAATGAAAGAGCACACTGAGAAAGATAAGAATGGAACATGCCAGAAGCACAAATGCAAGGGAAGACTTCAGAGAACAGAACAGCAGATTTGCTAATCAAAGCAACGTAGACTTCTGCATTCCAGCACTGCACACAAAGCCAAGGGGAATCCCCTGGGAGCACGGGCACGCGAAGGATGGGGAATGGTCCTTGGCCTTCTAATGCACATGATAGGTAAGTATGTACATGCCACAGCACACACATGGACAAAGAGAGAATTCACAGCACACAAAGTAAGAAACAACAAAGTCAACTCTAAAGTAATTTAAAAAGTGCAAATCAAAACTATGTTACAGAGGCCGGCACAGTGGCATAGCGGATAACTCCACCACCTTGAGTGTTGGTTGCTCCACTTCCAATCCAGCTCCCTGCAAATATGCCTGGGAAAGCAGTGGAAGATGGCCCAAGCCCTTGGGCCCCTGCACCCACGTGGGAGACCCCGAAGAAACTCCTGGCTCCTGGGTTCCGATCAGCCCATCTCTGGCCATTGCAGCCATCTGGGGAGTGAACCAGGGATGGAAGGTATCTCTCTCTCTATCTTTCCTTCTAACTCTGCCTTTCAAATAAATAAAAAATCATTTTTTAAAAATGTTACAAATTCATTTAACAAGAGTTTTTTTAAATAATATTCATGGAAGATAACCTCATAAAGGTCAAGGGTTTCCTTCAACACCACAACTTCCACAGATTTGCTTCTCTCAGCAAGCACACTGAGCACTCCCCTACCAGGCACCCAGCACTGAACAAGCAAGCAGGAATCCAGCCATGGGCCTTACATTTCATCACAATCCAATCCTCCTTCCTCAAATACGTTCTTCTTAAAAAAAAAAAAAAATCCCAAAGCAGTAGAAGACGCCCAAGTCCTTAGGACCCTGCACCCACGTGGTGTGGGAGACCCGGAAGAAGCTCCTGGCTCCTGGCTTTGGATCAGCTTAGCTCCAGCCATTGCAGCCATTTATTTGGGGAGTGAACCAGCAGATGAAAGACCTCTCTCTCTGTCTTGGCCTCTCTCTGTAACTTTATCATTCAAATAAATTAAAATAAATATTTAAAAAAAAAACCACACGGCCGGCACCGTGGCTCACTTGGCTAATCCTCCGCCTGCAGCGCCGGCACCCCGGGTTCTAGTCCTGGTCGGGGCGCCGGATTCTGTCCTGGTTGCTCCTCTTCCAGTCCAGCTCTCTGCTGTGGCCCAGGAGTGCGGTGGAGGATGGCCCAAGTGCTTGGGCCCTGCACCCCATGGGAGACCAGGAGAAGCTCCTGGCTCCTGGCTTCAGATCAGCATAGCACTGGCCATAGCGGCCATTGAAGGGTGAACCAACAGAAGGAAGACCTTTCTCTCTGTCTCTCTTACTGTCTAACTCTGCCTGTCAAAAAAAAAAAAAAAATCCCACACACAGAAAGAAGACAAAGCCTCATCCACAAAGCTAATCATCATAGCTTATTTATAGCAGCCAAAAGAGCTAGAAATAAAAGAATAATTAAATAGTTTGTTAGGATAGAAAACTGTCTTTAATAATATTTAATGCATAAAGAAATGTTTAAGTTACATATCTAGTAAAAAGCAGTAAATACTACTGTGCATATAATCTGATAAGCTTTTTCATTTCTAATCTCAACAACAAAGAGACAAAACCCTTATCGCCAGGCTGTGGGACTACAGGTGAATTTCCAAATTCTCTGCAAAGCTCTGTTTCCTAAGATATACCTCTGAGCCAGGTGAAGGGACACGGTTCTCTCCTTTAAAAAAAAAAATTTTGGTTTTGTTTATTTGAAAGAGTTATGGGGGGGGTGTCTTCCACCCCCCAAATGGCTGCACGGCTGGAGCTGAGCCTATCCAAAGCCAGGAGCTTCTTCCTAGTCTCCCACATGGGTGCAGGGGCCCAAGGACTTAGGCCATCTTTCGTTGTTCTCCCCAGGCACATTAGCAGGGAGCGGGACCGGAAGCGGAGCAGTCGGTACTGGAACCAGCGCCCACCTGGTATGCTGACGCCGAAGGCTGGGGCTTTAACCAGCTGTGCCGCAGCCCCAGCCCCGGGTTCTTTCCTTCTACCCTGTGGGCAGCCGATCTCCTAAAGCACTGTGTTCAAAAGTGAGTCCAAGTACCACAAGTCGTTCCTACACAGTGCACGGTCAACACCAAACTTAAAAAATGGTTTTAAAAACACACACTTAAAAATGCCAAAAGAAATAGGAATAGACAGGAAACCAATACAGCATAGAAACCTAACTACAGGCTGCAATAAGGGGACCACCTGGCAGGTGGGCTCTATTACGGGAAGCTGAGGAGAAAGGGTGGAGACAGTGTTCAGACAGCCCGAGGGCACCTGGCCTCACCTGGGAAACCCAGCCCGGGACCAACGCGCCATCTTTGACTAGCACTGCTTCCTCTGCACTCCTCAGTGAGAGGCAGAGAGAGCAGCTCCCTGCCGCTGTTTTCACTCCCCGGGCACCTGCAATGGCTGGGGCTGGGCAGGACCAAAGCCAGGGATTAGGAACCATGTGTGTAGCAGGTGCAGGAGCGCAACCCCTTGAACCGGCACCTGCTGCCTCCCAGGGTGCCCATCACCAAGGAACTGGAATCAGGGTTGCGGCTGCAACTTGAGCCCAGGCACTCTGACACGGGACGCAGGCATCCCACGCAGTGTCTGCACTGCTAGGCCAAACACGCCCACCCCACTGCTCACCAGCATGGCAGAGTTTGGCAAAGCCCCCTCCACTCCCCACTCTTCCGGTGAAAATTCAAAACTCAGGCGGAGGGGCAAGCGGGCTCGGGGGCACAGAGAGCCCACGTGGGCCGAACAACTGAAATGCAACCCCTTTCCAGGATCCACAGCCACGATGCAGGCACCGGCACCCCACGGGCAGCCCGGCCACCTCCACAGCCTCCTCCGCCCAGGGCCTCCACCTGCTGCAGCCGCGGCCCTGAGCACAGGGGTCTTGGCCTCCACCTCTCCACTCCTGGTCACTGCACCCAGCCTCGGAAGGAGCTGGGCAAACCCCAGCAGCCCAGCACGCAAATTAGGGAGCCGATGAAATCTCACTCCCATTATGTCAGCTCCAGGAGGAGGAGGGACACAGCGGTGCCTTCACCCCTGCCGTGGACATGCGGGCTGGGGTGGGGGACACAGGCACGTTGGGCAGCAGTAGCACCGACAGCTCCACCCTTCGTGTCAAAGGTATCAACAGAAGAATTTACTTTCTCCATGATCCCTTTACCCTCTCCCGATGGCCACCTTCCGGCGGGGAAGGTGTCAGGGACGGAGTCTGGAGGGAGCCGAAGCAAGCTCGACTCCTGAGGCCTCAGTCTCCACACCTGTGAAATAGGGCAGCAGCACCTGACTCAGGAGGCCGCGGGATCACGTGTATAGCACGAGGCACCGGGCACACGGAAGCACGCGTGACCGCTGCGTCCACACAGGTGAATCCCGCGGCATCGGGTGCGCTTTCTTTGTTGACCAAAGCCAAGAGCATCCTGCAAGATGACTTCGTCTCCGGGGCTGGACCTCGGGCGCTGCGGGGGCGAAGCGAGCACCCCGCGGGGCTCCTGCGGGAAAGCTGGGAGGAGCCTCCAGGTGCGCTCCGTCCAAGGCCAGGGGCAGAGGGCCACTCCTCCGCTTCAGTGTCCTCGTTGACCAAGGAGGGGCCCCAGTCCACGATTCCTGAGGTCCTTCCGGTGCTCCCACAGTACAACCCCTAGGTGGCACCGGTTAGAATTCCGACGGCCAGCTCCTGGGGACCCCTTCCAAGGCCACTTGGCGGCCCCTGGCCCTGCTTCCCGCAGCCCTCTGGGCTCTCGGGCTCTGCTCGGTGCACACTCGCTCTCCACCCCACCTTGCCTCTGCTGCCTCCACAGTGGTCATGCGTGTGTGAGCGCCGGGGCAGCCCCCGCCTGCACTGTGTCGGCCCAGAGTGCACAAATCCGCATTTCAGAGAAGCAGGACGAATTAAATCATTTCCTCAACAACACAACCCACCCACAGCCTCTGCACAAAACCGTGCCTCTTCATGCCGCGCGGAGGAGCAGGGAGCAGCCACCGAACCGCATCCGAGACCAAGGCAACCCTTACTCCTTTCAAGCCTGACACAAGAATCAAAATATTGTCACACTCCATCGTTCTGAGAACGCCTTTGCAGAAGTGACACCGTTAGCCGGCCGCGTCCCTGCAAAGACCCGTGGCCGGGGCGCTTCCCCAGAGATGGTCCTGAACGTTCTTTGTGTCCTGGTGCACTGGGGGACCCCGGCGAGGCCCACGCACGCCCGCGGGGGCCACACCGCCGGAAAGCACACGCCCCCAGCGGACCCTCGCGCCGACAATACAGTGCTCCAAAGCCTTCGCTAAGCCACAGCCAGACAGCCATGCACAATGACCAGCCCGGCGCCTGCATCTCGCAGGGCGAGGGCGCGCGCTGAGGAGCGGCCCCAGACCCGCCCCGGGCTCCCTCACCCTCGGCGGCTGTGCAGCCCCTCGGCGGGACCGGCCACGGTCCGCCGCGCCTGCATTCGCTGGGCCCAGGAAGAACCGGGACGCATCTCCAGAAAGCAGGGCGAGGGAGCCGTGCAGAATAAAAGAAGATGGGCGGGGAACGCCAAGGTTTCGAAAATATCAGCCACAGAGGCGCAGACAGGGTCGCGGCGGGGCTTACCTGGGGCGCACGAGGCAGGCCGGGCCAGCAGCAGCAGCCAGAGGCCGGGCAGCAGCAGCCCCGGGCGGGGGGGCGTTGGCCCCGGAACAGCGGGGCCCGGGGGGGCTTCCCTTTATTTGGCGCGCTTGGGGGGGGGGCGCGCACGGGTAAATGGGGGGGGGCCGCGGCCCGGCCTTCGGGTTCGGTTTTAAAAGCCCCGGTAGGGGCGCCCCCTTGCGTTTTTGGGGGGAAGGGGTCCGCCGGCCCCCGCGGGGGGACAAAATAGCAAAGGGGGGGCGCGGG